CGCTCTCGTCATTAAGATATTGAAATATGTCTGTCCAATAAGCAATTGTTTTTGGCCAAGTAAACGAGGTGTACGATAAAGAAAGTGCGCTTATTTTGGAATAAGTAACTTTACTGTGACACTTCTTCTAAATGGTATTGTTCAAGCTCGCAGATTACCAAACATAGTTTTGCACGGTTGATATGAACGGAGGCATATATTGTTGACGCACTTGTGTATGGCAATTTATTTGCACCGTTACGGGGCCGTTAAAGCTATGCAATGTCATGAAAAGAGCGGCAATAGATCTTCGAGGGATATGAGTGGATTGATGATTCACCACTCACGTAATACCGTGGAATGACCTAAGGTTTTAGTTCTTACAGGAGTTTAGAGATATTCTTTAATCGGAAGATTCGAGCAAATGTGGGATCTGCTTTTATCGATTTGGGAAAGTTACATATATACACAAACTGCAGTAAAACATTTTGTAAATATTGTAATTGACTTCATTTATAACAAATTGTCTTCATACCTGCCGCCGAATCTAATCAGGATCAGCATCACAACACCATTCAGCAAGTTTCTTGTATTCTTCTGGTGCGGAATCAGGCATTGATGGTCGTAGTCCGCCCATAATGCTGCATACTATCGAACTGCCTATCTCTAAAAGGTGGTTCACCAGTAGCAATCAAATACATAATGATACCAAAAGTATACACATCCGATTTATGAGTAAATTTGCAGGTATGGAAGACTTCTGGTGCAATAAAAGGTAAAACGCCTCGAATGGTTGAATTTTGTTGACGTGAATTCACCGATTGAGAAAGACCAAGATCACATATGAATGAGTTTACCCTATTATCATCATCATCATAATAATAAAAATGATGATCATGCAAAACTACGTTTCCGCCATAAATATCACAATGCACTAAACCCGCATTATGAATATTTCTCAGATATGATGCAATATTATACAAAAACTGTAATTTTCTTTTCCACGTCAATTTGTTAATATTTTGATCCAAATAAGACAAAAGACTACCATTGATAGTGACGGTCCCTTGCATTATCGCCAATTGACACAGCCCTGTTTGGCAATTGTAAAGACACGATCAAATTTTATTAACCATCAACATATTTGTGCCTTACTATTACCATCTTCTATATATTAAACAATACAGGCTTCCGTATACACCACAAGTAATTTAGCTAAGAAGACGAAGAAGAAGCAATAGCGGATGATGTGGATGGTGCACGATCTTGATTCCTTTTTCGCGTCCGAAGTGTTTGTCCCGATCCAGCGAATAACTTGTCATTTTCCTACGTGTTCGTGGAATTATTCGAATTAGGCATGGATAAATGTCGATACCTAAGTATCGTTTATACGCTTCGTATTCACATTTCCATGTTCCGTCTTACCTCATCTGCATTAGTCGTTTTCTTATCACTCAACGGAATGATTTTGTATCCAAAGAACAACTTCCCAAATGGTAGATTCAAGGCTGGAGGCGCACTCTTCTCGCCCGATTTTACTGTTGAATCCGAATCACCTTCTTTTACAGCTTTGCCGTTTAGTCGTTGTCCACTACCGTGGAAGAGTGTATGAGTTGATGGCGTATAATCTATCTTCACTTTATCCGCCTATTAACGAGAATATTCGAAATACGTTATGAGTATAAAAGACATTGCATAGTAATGCTAGTTTATGATATTTGAGACGCAGTAACTGATATTATTCTGACACCTCGTACAATCATTTAACATGGGGATGCTATAAGAATGCACTTGGATTCTGAAATTAAGATATAGTTGCGCTTTATTAAACATTTCTCTTCAGTATATACCATTGTCTGTTGTCTCTTGGGTAGTGGCTTGGGTTCTACGTAACCAAGGGGTGGCGCAAAATCTACCTGCAATCGTAATATCATATAGTTAGCAGTGACCTTGTTTTGACACGCTTATCCATTGATTAATTTTGGCTTACCTCCAAGTCTGTCTCTACAATGGATACACCATCACTTGGAGGATGTTCTTGATATGGATCGAGTTTTGGTTTAACTTCAAGCACCATAATCTCATATATCTTTTCATTATAGCTTATCTGAATAACATCGCCTTTTGTCAATGTTGAAAAGTTGCGTAAAGCGTTCTCTAACCTATAAAGTACAAAGCATCATTTAGTTAACGCAATCGCTTGATAACTGCGCCCGACGTATGGAAATTGAGTACTTACACTGCTTTTGGATCGCTAATGTCTAAGAAATCAGGTGTTTGCGGTTGTATTTTAACATAACTACCTAATTGTAAATCAGCATTCTTGATTTCTACCAGATCACCTGGTTCCAGTAATAGTGTTTGCATCATCTTGATAGGATTAACGGTCAGATTATTTGGCAATCAATCAAATAAGCATAGTACGGCGGTAATTTTTCTTATATATATATACATACCCAATGTGGTAAGTAAGCTCTTCCTTCTTCGGCTATGAATTCCAATACTCCAGCGTGCGAATGCCTTTGTTTATTCGAATTATTTAATTCAAACAGCATAGGATAAGATATGTTCAGGCTAGCTATGAGGCACAAACGTGCAAAAAGTAGATTTCAATTAATGATCGTATTGGCATATGTAATTGCAATAATGACTAGTCTAATATTTATGTTAAGTATAATTTCATTACAGAGATTCATACTTATCAATAAGGCAAGACATCGAGATGAGCATGAGCTTCATTTCAATCATTGTGAAAGAATATTTATGCAATTCACACACGTATTCTTATTGTACTGGAAATGTCGACAAGACTTTACTTACCCAATTTAGCAAGTGCCGATGGTGGAAGGAAGACTGCCAAGCGGAAGATCAATCCGAGACGAAGGATATGTGGTAGAAGAAGTTAATAAATGATAAACATAGACAACGGAATTGTTCGGGTTTGCAACATTTTGTAGTAAGTCATTCGCCCACTACGTTTCCCATAAATTATTTCAGCAGATTACCCAAACCATATAATTCACTACTCCACGATATTTCCTAATGAGAATCTTGAGACATACTCTTTCCTCCAAAGTTTGCAATCGGTCTTTCATTTCCTGGCATCATGGCTACTGAATAACACCGGTAAGTCTCTGAGAAACCTCTGTTAGGGTTCTGCTGCATCCCATACTCAAAGTCATCGTAAGGTCCATACTAAAGAAGAAAGAAGAGAGAGAAGTAGGGTTGAATAATTTGTATATGCAGCAGAGACAGTGTACGATTAGCGGAATGATCACATACTGCCATCATATTGAATATAATGTCTGTACGGCAGTCGAAATTGTAGTTGGCGTTGTAGAGTAAGAAGAGAGAGATTGAATTTAATTCAAGTTTCGCGGAGTTAATAATGTATTAAATAAAAAGACGTAATCATAATGATACACGCAATCCAGCTAGAAATATGGATGATGTCACTACCAGTGTCTACCGTATTTAGACTGCGGCGCAGACCGCTGGGTGGAAGATAGCCACTTACCATACTCTTTTATGCATGTATATTCGCTTATGCACGCAAAAACGACCGAATAACGGCCGTGAATTTGAGCCGCATACTAACACTGACATACAGAGAATTCAGTATCTGTTTATTGGGAAAACTGACTATGACCTTAGCGAGTTAAGGATATTGTTAGTATTAGAGTCTTTCCTCCTCAATGAAGGCTGTCAGCTACTCGAGACGACCAAGTTGATTGATTGTATTGTAGAGCATTTTCCAGTATGATCCCTCGACCAAATTGTCTCAAGTCTCTCGAAACTTGCTCTTTTGTTAGGATGCACGAAAGCTCTCCCATCCAAATATCTTTCGAACTTTCTGTTATCAATTGCTCCTCTATCGGCTCGAGATAACACCGTGGCGCAAATACACTCCTTTTAAACATTGGGCGATGGCAGATACGTATTTATATGGCTTTCTCTAAATACAAGCCTATAGTCATTCATCGCTTAATTGCATTGTCCAATGGAGGTTTACATCGTTCTTTTTCAACAGAACAAACAAGATAGATAAAATTACAAATATATATGGAGGTTAGGATTACAAAACAGTGATTTACTTATTGTGTATAAATATATATTTGTTTGTTACAAGTTTTCTTTCTCATTTAGTATTCATATCATTTTGTCTTCTTTGTCTTCTGATCTCTCTTGTTCCTATTATCAGATTCTGCTGCCTTGACTATATTGAACTTTCTCCCTCCAGCCACGGCGTTTGCTCTTGACACCATTATTTGTTCAATGTTCTTATTTATTGCTAATGTTATTTTCTAGATAGGATGTGTGATAGACTTAGCAAAAGCAAAAAGTCGCCATAACTCGACTTATTCTTGTTATTAAGAAAAAATACGCTACCTTCTCCATGTTTCTCTGTTTTATTTTTGACTGTTTCTTTGGAGCTATTGTTCTTGCTATAACGAGAGCATAATGTATCAACAGGCCAAGTTTTATCACCATCTATCCATAATGTTCATTCACACATGACCCGATATTCTTACCTCCTTTTCTTAAACCGAGCTGTTTGTCTTTAGTCTTATTCTTACTATCATTAATCTTGTTGGATTTCTTCAGTGCTTTTTGAACCATCTTAAAATGTTAACCATTCTTGCTTTCCGTTACTGCTGGGAATGTCTGTTGATTGGTCACGTGAATATATTAAAGCTTACTTGGAAATTTTTGATTGGGAGAAATAAATTCAGTTCGAAGTTTGATCAAAATCCACAGCTCACACCCATAGACAATGCCTTATTATAATTGCCACGCCGACTTTACGTCTTGACTATCTAACCAGTATGCGATATCAACAATTATTACTGATCAGTACGTTCGAATTCTTGAGCATTGTATTCAAGATTTGTAATTAGGCTCCAAACTGAAAAAAAGCTTGTTTCTACCGCTCACGCATTATTGTACAGTTTGCATTTTATCGAGTTTTTGTCTTCCAACAATCTCTACCGATGATCGCTCAAGAACGCCTACTTCCAGCTCACACGAAACGGCAAGTGTTGATACTGCAGTGAGTATCAAGATCCTTCGTACTGAGCACTACTATCGCTTAATTGCTCTTCTTATGTGGAAGTTTAACTACCCGTTGATACCAACCTGCTTAAACAAATTCAACGTTAACTGTCAAAGACTATCACGTTTTGCAGCATGCAGAGACAACTGCCGGTAAATCTTCGAATCAAAGCCCGTCGCAAAAAGGCGTTTCCACAACAGATTCTGCTGGGCGATCTGGTAAGCATCTCATCCAATAGTCAGGTCACAGCTTGAGTGATCTGTGAATTAATTACCATAATTCTACCAGGAACGTCAACTGCGAACACTATAAAGATTATGTTGGGACAATTGTTTCTGCAAGCTACTTACCATGACTTTTAACTGTTTGATTGAACTATAGGCGACGAACTGTTTAAAGAGGCTATGGAAATGCTCAAGACTATTGAGTCGTCCTCCAAAGAAAATGCTCGAAAGAGTAACGAAGACGAATCGGATATCTCCATATCATCATTACTTCCATTACCGGTACGCGTCGTTGTAAGAGTACTGCTATCACTCTTTTCGATGAGTGGTCAGACTACGGACGACGCAAGGTCTAAGAAATCTTTCACCTATCAACCGTTGCATCCGCATTTAACTACCGCGGTCAAGTTGCTACGCGAAGCAGGACTAGGACTTGGCCATGCCGATTCTCTATTTATTCTCGCAGAAATGAACTTTGTAAGATCTTTTACTCGTATAATAACCACATTGTGTGATAATTTGCTATATTGTTATGATTAATATGCTATCGTTATGTACGAAGTATTCCAAGTATGGCCATCCTCGCAATTTGAACCAAGCCTTTTATTACTACAAACAATTTGCTGATCGTTCGGGAAATGCTACAGCACAGCAAATCGTGGGCTTTATGTATGCTACGGGTATTGGCGTTGTTCAGAGAGATCAGGCAAAGGTGAGTTTGTATCACATTTTCAAATGTATGGATACTTTGAAAGTGTTCTTCTTTCTTAATAATAATAACAAACCAATAGGCACTCGTGTATCATACGTTCGCTGCCTTGGGACATGACGTTGCTGCTGAAATGACTCTTGGTTATCGGCATTACGCGGGGGTAGGCGTACCGCCTGACTGTAAGGAATCGCTGTTTTATTATAAGCGAGTTGCTGATAAAGGTAAGGCAGTTACCGGTTATATTTGTCATATGGATAGACTGACTTTCAACGACGCTGCGGACATGATATACTTACACCTTTCCCTCTCATGGTACCTTTTCCAGCTATCGAATACTACCAATCGGGCCCTCCGCTAGGTCGCCAATTGCCTCCGCTTAAATTGCGTCTCTCTGATAAAGAAGGCGGTGTGTACGGGGAAGGGGCGAGTGGATCTTTGTTGAGACCACAGCTCAAACCAATAGATTCCGCAACTTGGAATGACATCCTTGATTATTACCGTTATCTTGCTAGTAATAATGATATCAAAGCACAGGTATAACTTACGCTGCTACATACGTCGTTGTAATTGTGTTATGATGTTATGTTGACTATTTGCTGTAACGTTAATATTCTTCATCAATGTAGCTGCAGCTCGGTCAATTGTTTTATACAGGAATTCGTGAAATTCCACAAGATTTTTCCAGTGCACATAGCTATTTATTGAAAGTTGCACGACGAGTATGGCCAGGCGATGGTATAGACAAATTACCGGCAAAAGGGGACATTGCTCGGAAGGCTGCGAAGGCCGCAGGACTCCTAGGTCGTCTATACTGGCGCGGTGAGGGAGTACCGCAGAACAATCGTACGGCTGCTTTATGGTTCACTCGGGGTGCAGATGAGGTTAGTGATCTGATAGCTTCGAATGGGAAATGATCAATCCATGAGCAAAAGAAATGATATGAATTTTACTGTACTAACTTATACATCCTCATATATTATTGCGATAACATACTAACAAAATTTTCTATCATAATAGAGCGACCCAACTTCTTTAGCCTGTCTTGGAGTAATGCATTTGGAAGATGTTTATGACAAAAATGATATCTTAATTGAACAGGTTAGTTTTTTTGTGACATAAGCTTTAAAGAGCTTGTCCTAATATACTTGTTTGTGCAGGATCTTGAAAAAGCTAAGGAATTACTTGCGGTGGCGTCAGATGGTAATGATGCAGATGCAGACGCACAAGTTTATTCAGGGCTTCTTCATATGAGTATGTACAATCGTGCAAGTTATATTCATCGTATATTTAAACGTGTGTTCAAATCTTATTTATGTCTTTGATTCTTTTTAAGGAAAGGATGAGTTCAATGATGCAAAAAAGCGGTTTGAACAAGCAGCAAAGCAGCATGCTCATTTCTTGGCCTATTACTATCTGGGGAAGATGTATGCTGAGGGTCTCGGAGTACTACAATCATGTGATAAAGCAGTTTTTGTATGTGATATCTTTGCAGTATATAGTGTTATATGATATCTAAATAGGTCTTTGAATAACACTCATTAATTCATATAGCTTTATAAGAATGTGGCCGAGCGAGGAGATTGGCTTCATTCACCTTTTTCTGCTGCCACTGAGGCCTATGAAGCAGGAGATGAAGAGACAGCTTTTCTTTACTATATGTTGGCGGCAGAGAGGGGCTATGAGATCGGTCAAGCAAATGTTGCTTGGTTATTAGATCCAGGTAGGGATTGGTGAATCTCATTATATGATGACTAGGGTGTCCTAAGTGCGTAGGGTATGAGGAGAATTAAGCATAATTAGTTGCTTATGTCATCGGTGATCCGATTTCTTTATAGTTAACCAACAAATAAGTTGGACGTTTAGAGCGTGTGCAATCGATTAAATAGAAGAGAGGGCGTAACACATTTCTATAACATTTAATACTTTGTGACCTTGACATTATTGGTTTTCTCCCCGTACTTGCATAGATAAAGCAAAATGGAATCTTCGGTCTTCATCTACGCGTGATGCTGCGCGCGAGAAAATGGCACTAATATATTGGACTCGTGCAGCGATACAAGGCAATGTGGATGCAAGAGTTAAGATGGGAGATTATTACTTTAACGGCATCGGAACTGATATTGATTATAAGAAGGCCAAAGACTGTTATTATGACGCAGCATCAGAAAGTGCAATAGCAATGTGGAATTTGGGGTGGATACATGAAAGTGGCATTGGGGTGTCTCAGGCGAGTATTAGTTTACGTTTAATGTTGGTTGGTCCTAGTATTTTATGTTTCTCATTATCACCAGTAATTACGTACTTGCCACCGTTAATATCTAATTGGCGAATAGTTGGCGTAAAAAATGATGGAGTCATTTTCGGTATTCAGATATTTATTTCTGGTTTATTTAATATTTATTGTTTTTGCTTTTGTTTTGTACAGGATTTCCATCTTGCCAAACGGTGGTATGATCGATCTCTAGCCAGTAACCCAGCAGCGTATCTTCCGGTAACATTATCGCTGTTGAAGCTATACGCCCATAGTATATGGAACTACGTAACTGGTGGAGACAACCCTATAATTAATTCCAATGACGTCGATGACTCGGAATCATTGGATGAAGTACGACGGAGACCAAAAGGCCAGCAGAGGGAAGGAGGTTGGGATAGTGAGGAAGAAAAGTTGCTGAAAGATTATAACAAGAGGAACAAAGGCGATGATGAATCTGGAGATAACACGGGATTACACGATGAGCATGATTATACTGAAGAGAAGAAACAAGAAGAGGACGTTGTTGAGACTTTGATGATTCTGGCAATGTGCCTGTTGGTTGGATTTTTGGTGTATATTCGCCAATTGAGATGGAATCAAGAAAACAATAGAGCAGGGGGGCAAGGCCGAGTAGATGGGAATGAGAGAAATCGAGATGGAAGAGGTCATCAAAATGGTAATGGGGAAGGATTACAAGGGAATCGATGGATTGATCGTTTTGCCAACTTGGCTGAGTTTGTGCAGTGACACTTGTATCATATCATATTCTAAACAATCTCCTGCTCGTAACAGAATCAAGAAATAGATGGTTGTCTATGATAATATTGAAAATTTCAAGATAGAGCCAGTAAAGATGGAATAGAGTTTGCACGTCAGCAGAATAGGCTCAGATTGCAAGTAAAAATATACATTCATGCAAAATTCAAGTACACATTTCCATTGTTAAATTGGTGACATTTTTGGCTATGTATATTTAATATCAATTGTTAATTAATAAACAGTAAAACGTGCTGAATTCGCAATGTATTGAATGTACTTATGATATTCTCAAAACGTATAGTCAAGTTAAATTCTTGTTGTGGAGAATAAATATTTTTATTAAAACGCTTGTGGAATAAATTATTATACACTGAATTTACGAATTGACCAATAACAAGCAACAACCTCGCAAAACCGATAGAAAAAGGTGGGGACAGCCACATCGGTTTTCCGAGATTTGACTGTATTGATCGCTTTAAAAACACTCTGATGTAATCTCCACGTGACTCATTCCCGAGTGGCTGCGCAATTCGTTCTTACACATGTTGAAACGCAAACATGGCCAACTGAGCGACGCAAAGAAGGAGTACAATGAGATTAAGGCAAAGCTAGAGAGGCTGGATGGACTGAAAAACGCGGAAGAACTTACTGAAAAAGAAATGAGAGAGCTGGCTAGGCTGGAGGCCAGGAAGAGAGGCTGGAGGAGAGAAGAGACCGATGGGAAGAACAGCTAGCAAGTACTTCTACAGGTAACGACTTTGTGACTCGGCATTAGGGCGTAGAATAGAGCATAGCGAGCGATTTAATCATATTAGCAGTACGAAAAAAATTTTTCTCCACGCACCTCCCAGCAAAGTACTGTATGAGAATTTATATTTGGGTTAAGCCGTGCTAGACATCTTTGTTTGACTAATTATATGTTTCTAGTAGAGAGTGCAACATCCGGAAGACATCTTTTCAGGCTTCTTTCCCGGCCCGACGTGGTTGTCAGTTCTGTAACTGCTGACGATGTGTTTGATTGTTATTTGCGAGAAATGGCAAACGATACATACATCAAAATATACGATTCTATAAGGAAGGATGTTACGGATATTCTGGAGTCTGGCTCCATTAATGAGAGTGCAAAATGTTTTTTGAGAAAAATTAGTGATAATTGGAAAGTAAGTAATTCAGTTGAATTCATCTGTCAGAATTTGACCTCCAAGGGATAGCACTTCTCATTTTCGAGGGGTGTAAGTATCTGAGGTGAGGAAGGACTGCTTGTTACTTCCTCCAGACATATGGGGACTGCTTGTTACCCATATGTTCCAGATTGGTGGCAGCTTGGGGACTGCTTGTTACTCAAGTTCGGAAGTCTGGGGGCTTGTTACCTGGACCTAAACCACTCCAATTGTATTTTAAAAATTACTTCATAGCTGGTTTATAAGTCATAGAATTTAACATTCTTTTTCTTTTTTTCCGAGACATGGAAAAAAACCATTAGCCATGACAAACTCTATACAGAACAGAAAAATAAGTATGAAATCTTGTTTGTAAGTGTGTTACATTCTTTTCTTTTACAAATGTAAAATCCTCCAGTAGCTCACAGCCTCTATCTTCCATACTAAAGCAAAAGAGTGCCACAAAATACCAAAAGGGAGTAGCAACAATCATTGAAACTGAGGTTGAGGGTCGGATCAAAAAAGTGACAAAGGATGATAGTGTTCCAACTCCAAAGCAAGTCTTCAAATATTTGGAAAGCAAGAATGAGGTTTGTCTGTATGCATTTGCATTTCCAGGGCAAGAAAAATAACAAGGCTGGACAAGTAAATCCAGATTTGCTGCTCAATTGTGGGGTTTTTTCTTGGAGTATTGATGAATCCTTTTTCCCTTCATAAACTTGGCATCACAAATGATAAATAAGGCAATTGATGTAAAAGGCTGAAAACATTGAATATACCGATTTGAACAGCAAGGACAGCAATGATGAACACATTGTTCAGAAGCAAAGAACTGAGGCTGTAACAGCCCAAATGACTCCAGCTCATGCATGTGATTACAGGGCAGCAATGTTGACACTCAGCTCAAAAAAAATCTGCCATTTTCCAATCAATGGTTCAAGCAATTTGCTCACCTCGGCAAGCCTATTTTGAAAAATAGCTGATAAGATGCCACTGATTAGAATCGAAAATTCAAGAGTAAAGATATCGGCTATTTACAGCAGGGATGCACAGTGAGTGAAGGCGATTTCAACTGCAATTTGACACACCTAAGAGTATATATGATTCAATAACTTTGCAAGTGCATAGGAAGAATAATGGCAGTACCAATAATGTTTAGAAATAAAGAATGGAGGGGGAAATAATTGACCAAATAAGACACAGTGAATATGAACACAATACAAAAAAGAGCTTCACAAACAACATTACATCATATACTGATAATGATAGAGTAAAATAATTAACAAGTGTTGCCAAAAATAGATTAACTAGCCTTTCAAAAGATATAAAAGCAGGTAGATTTTAACTAGCTCGAAGCATTCAATTCACTTTTGATTTCTCATTAATAGTATTAATAAACAAGCAGCTTGTCTGCTCTGAAATTACACATTTGATACTTTATTCCCTGAACCATTCAATATAGTTGTTGTCCACTAATTATAATCCCTATATCAAAAAGAGTAATCTCTTCTTGTCCCACAATTACTCCCATAACAAATACAATATTTGATTGTTTACTCTCAATGCGTTTGTTATAAATACTGTACACTTATACCAAGTTGTGAGTAGGAAAGCCTGATGTTAAAGGTCACTAACTGTTATTTTGCATTTTTATTTTCCCAAGATGAAAATTTCCAATCATTGTATCTTTTTGACTCAACGTTAATGTATTTTTTAGAATGCCAAAACATACTTTACAGAAACCTGTAGTTTTTATAAATCTCTCTGTGACATCAGAATAAGGTCACCACTATCTAACAGGCATTACGTAATGAGATTGTCATGAGAATTCTAATTTTAGTGTATCGTGAAGATGTGCCCACAAGACTTCCGGGATGCATGGAAATTTTACGAAGTTGAACAATCTAGCAGAATCTCGTGACAAGATCGCCAGGATATTAATAGAAATTTAGCAATTTGTTGGTGACATCACAACGAGATGTTTGCAATATTTTCTGATTGTAAATGTCACATGGTTATCAGCACAATGTCCTGCAAATCTCATCGAGACATTTTTAAAAAATGCAAGTTTCTGTAAAGTACTTTTGTTACAGAGGATAAGGTTCTGCCCAAAACATCAAACAGTTCGAGAAGTGAACAAGAGAAAACGGAAGCTGGGATGATAATGATTTTTTGACTATCTTTATGGGATTATTACGTCTGGTGCTTTCTCAATGAGACCTTGAAGCTAGAAAAAAAATTGCATGTTTACTAACATTGAATACTTATTATCATTCTTATCATCTTCAGGACAGAAGGTTGTGGAGACTCATCACCATACAATATTAATACAATATGACCTTATTTCCAAGCTACAATATCCTGCTAACAGGCCCACTAAAGCTAGTTTTAACATGACAGAGTCAGAAGTGAAACAAAAAAGTGACCAGCAGAAACATCACCATACACGAAAACCATTGGTATTTCTTACTTTATAGCTCAATAAGTTGGTATTGGGACGGATTTTTCTAATTCTTGGTAAATCCTTTGCCAGCAAAAGCAAAAAATCTTCTTTCTTGCTTTTTCATACATCATTGTCTGACACTATTCTCCTATGATTGCCCAAAGACTCAAAAATTCTCATGTCAATTTTTCAATTTTGGCCTTGGGCAGCTGCATAGTGTCTTTTGGAAAAAAACAATGGCAAATACCGATACACTACAGTCTGCTATCGAAAATTCACTCTCCTATTAAAACTGGCTCACCCAGATCACCCTTCTTGTCCAACTGCCACAGCAATATCTTGTGCGATCCCACGATCACAACAAGATCCCAACAAGCTCACATGTTTTGCGAATCTGATCCACCTCACTGCTCCCCCAGTATCCCATGACCTGCTCAGCTGGCCCCTTGGTTGCAAACACCCATTTATTGATCGTTAAACCCGCTCGTCCAAATCTGTCATAGGTGGCGACATTCAATGCATCCGCTTTCCGGCGATCGATCGATCTGTGTGGTAAACCAGTTAGCAATGGTGCTGGTTCAATGTCGAGAAAGTTGATCCTGACAAACTTCCACTCAGATATGCACACTAGTCCTTTTGTTGTTGTGTCAATAACCAGGTCAATTCGCCCCGGCAACTTGGACGATCTAGTGACCTCAAATTCTGGTGTGACATACAACAGCGGATTTCGGAGGAATGCGCAACAGAAACTGTCACGATGATTCTCACAATCGCTGACGTCTCGCATGCTCATGAGTCGTCTGTAGTAACCAAGAAGCACAGAGATGTCGCCTGTGGATGTGATTTGCTGCAGTGTCTTTCGAATGTCTTAGCAGATTGTTCAAGTAAAAATTTTGGGAGGGGGTATTTTCCTTATTGCGTGTAGCCATAGCCCACTTTCTGATATCAAAAGATATAATACGTATCAAATTCCATCGTCAAAAATTATCGAGTTAATTCCAATTGATATTTATTAAATAGTTGCAAACCCTTTGAAATCACTTTCATTTTCTACAAGTGTCTTGAGTTGATACACAATACGGACTATTGATTAGAACGGAAACGTTCGAAAGATATTGGCGGAAAACGTAAAGCTATCGATACAACCCAGACTCATACCCTTCATATTGAGTGAGTGGACGGGAATATTGATTAGTCAAAATACCAAATAGAAGATTGCCCGGATTATTAAATTTGTTTGATAATGTTGGTACCCTTATTTGGAAATACGGATGATTGACGCGCAATGTGAAGCTAATGGTGAAAGCAATACTTTAGAAAATGAGCAGCAGATAAATGAATACGAATAGCAATAACAAATTGTCAAAATGTAAGAACTGATGAGAGTAAAAAGTTTATTATTATGTAATGTCAAAGTTAAATACTTCTTGGAAGGAATTCGTGAGGGATCGTGAAGGATCGTGGGAATATATTGATATTAATAATATTCCCACTCGACTGTCCCCCCCCGAAAAGCGCGTACAGTATTTGGTAAGAGTTTTAGTTCTGTAACACGTGATGGGATTAAACGGGTATAAAATTTTTTATTACCGATACGCAGTACATATGGATTTAAATTTTCAGAAACAATCTCTCGCCGATCCCTTACTTTCCTTCTTCAAATGCAACAACCTCCTCAATCTCTCCCGACACCCATTCCGCAGTTCGTCGTTTTACATGATCAACTGCAACAATCATGGAAACATCCCATTGTGCATTATGTTTTTGAGGAAGAACCCTTTCCCATGGGAATGCCTAAGGATCATTGCGTTGTTGTTGATATCACAGAGGATGGGGATGCTGTTGCAGACGTTCACTCATATAGTCATAGATTTCAGGTGACTGGGTGTAAGATTAGCTCCACTCCGCAGCTTGGAGCACCCAGTAGAGAGTCAGCAGCGAGCTTAATGTTGACTATTGAAGGGCTTACTGCTAGCAATAATAGTTCAGAGTAAGTTTGGGCTCATTAGCGTGGGCATGCATCGAATATGGATGGGTTTGAGGGGAGAACATATGTGATCTGATGTAAGGCCAATAATTATAGTCCGCCGCAGTCAATGCAACATCGTTCTGGAAATGCTGACGAAATGGATCAAATTTCCAATATTTACGGACTGGACGAGCTGCTTTATGATTTCAAACGACGGTAAACGACGCTATTTTTTCTGCGGATGTTTAATGTTGATTGCTTATCCCTTTATTAATGTTATCAAATAAAATTAATGATAGAAATGACATGTTACGTCAAACGATAACATTTGCTGAGACTAATCAGAACCAATAGAGGTATTTTTATCATTGGAATCTTTGCTGTATTTTTATGCTGTCTTAATTCTCTCTTATTTCTGGAGATGTCGTTGGATACATACAGGCCAAATGTATGCTTAATTGAGGGGATCTGTTGGATATACTTTGGTAGACCTAGGCTGCGGGCAAATGAGGGCTTTCAAATCAGTTTACCCTAATAACTAGAATTTATTCATAAACACGGGATTTTCTTATGTGAAGGATTATGCAATCTTGCATTCTATTATTGAATATACATATATTCTATTTATTGAGAGTGAAACACCGTAACGCACTTTACAAGATTATTTTTACTTCATATACAATCGCAATAAGACTGCGTAGATTATCGCTGTCCTGTATAAATGTACATGGTACGATTAACCATGTCCTTGTTCTAATTCAGGATTCAGACTGAAATCGAACATATTCTCCGTATTGTCGCCTTGTTCGATGCTATTATCAGTGTCTGCGTGTGCGGATATCTTTGCCTGGTGATCAGCACCAGCGTCAATCTCTTCTGACTCTTCCTCAGAGGCCTCTTTATTTGAATTTGCCTTTGACCCTACATTAATAATATGGATATATAAGTAAAGGGAACCAAGGAACCCAAGTATTGCAAAGTTACATTACATTACCACCGATCGTAGCGCCGATCTCACTACTGTATTGACGAAAGAGCAGACTCCTCCGCATACGCTGTTCAGTTGGGTAAGGTGGCTCTCGCGGAATATTTACACCAACGTTGGCTGGTGCTGATGTAAACGTGCCAACTTTATTTGCATATGCCAGTAAATCCGCTATGTTCATGGGAGCTAGAAGTGATGGTAACAAAAAGAGTTTGATCCATATTAATACATAGTCTATTCATAACAACAATCGACAATACTTACAGTCACTAGCTAATTTCATTGCCTTCATAGTGACACGCGCGTCGTCCAACAAGGTTTCAAGCTGCTCTCGTCCCTGGTGTAGCTGCTCAACCAATTCCATGATAGCGGCATTCTGTTCATCTATCTCTTGTTGAACTTGTAATATTTTCCTGTGATAGTATTGGTGTTCTTCGACTTCCAACACAATGAAGAAAAACGCGACGAAGAAATCATTATGTGTTCCTGCCGGATTCCAATCGCAAGCGATCTTCTCATTGATATTCATATGGACCTACTTTGGCTTACTCCATCTTGTAACTTTTTATCTAGATCCACTATCTCTTTCATAAGGCTTACGGGTGCGCGCTCGGCTTTCCTCCCTTCTGCCGTCTCGACAATGGAAGCAAACAGTTGGGAAGTAAGAGACTCATAGTCGTTAAGTATGTTTGTAAAATTAGTCTTTAGAGTGTTTGCTAGTGATTGCGAAGAGGTAATCTGGGCAGCCGAAGCTCCTGGTGATCCTGGCGTTGCAGGGAAAGAGGATGTGCCTGCATACCCGGGAGTGCCCGGAGTGTTGGACATTATAGGGAAGACATAAATTGGGATAAAACTTAATCTGACATGATAAAATACCGCCACAACGAATCAGGGATCATAATTATCAAGCGCCTCTCCCGCAGATTTCTTAACCCCACATTTATTGGGTCCCCGAAAAGATCCCGTAGTAGTCGAAAGTATGAATGCTATTTACTATATTGAAAATGTCGATTGCGCATGTATTCCTGTTATCGAATATACTTTCACAACGTATTCTCCTCTCCTCCTATGTATGTATACAAAGTGCATTGACATAATCAATAAAATCCCAGTTTGTTCTGTAATTCCAAGTACAACATGTGTTTAATAGCAGCAATATAAGAGACATTGACTCTTTCAACTCACACAAGTAATCAATCAGTTGAAAACCGAAAATGTACGGTATAATGATATCATGCAAAGGACGAGTGAATCTTGTACACTTTAGGTCATAGAACGAAATCAGTTTGCGAGTGGCTGAAGCTTCGTTGTCCTGCAATAAACTTTTTCCACCATACCAGATTACTTTATCTCCAGGCATGATTACTTCTGTCATGTTGAGTCGATCGTTTGCCATTTATTTCACACTATTTTGAGAATACGAGCATGAGATGTGGATTTCTTGATTGTCAAATCGCATAGCATAGATATTGCATCAGACATTAGTATTTTTTATGAACGCGTCCATAGTTTAGTAGTAAAGATGCTTGATCGTATTTTATTTTTGACAACATTGCGATTCCAAAAGACATACGCGTAGTTTAATTCTTAAAGACTTGGGGCAATAAAAACTTCCATACTATGCACCAATACCAATTTATATTACCCAATTGTGTTACGTGTGCTTTAGCAATGCTCAGCCCTTAGACGGGCTGGAAATGTCCTTCATTTAATGCTTTCTGCAGCTGTCGTGGGTACAGACTATGAAAAATGGTTAGCAGCTCGATAGGCACGACCAAATGTAGTGCTGCCATGAAAGGAGTATGATGGACAACAGTATCATATTCAAAATTCAGTACCAAATGACAGTATTTGTTCTGGCAATGAATATCTCATCGAAGCTTTCAGTCCCCACTTTCGGTTGTGAATTCGCCTTCATGTTAAAGGATTATCCGGTAGTAACAGATTACCGCATGATAAGCTTAGTCTTATGATTGCTACGCAATTCGGTCTTTAGACAACAGTCGTGTATAAAATTAGTAGTAATGACATAATTAGTGAAATGTCAAAGAGTGCCGTCGGGTTGAACGAAGATTTGTATGTTCAACACTCTTTCGTTCTGGTAAAAGGCTAGCCAAGTTGATGATTAGATAAATTCTCCCCGTCAACAGAGAATCGATCACCGGACAGGAAACCTGCATGAAATAATGGGCTAAACTCATTTTCGTGCATAGATAGATGTCACTCCTACCCAAATCCGTAGCGCCTTTATAGGTAACCAGAATATTAGTTATTGATACGATGACGTTATAAGGGATGTGTTAGTGTAGCCCTTCCCCTAAAAGCCTCATAGAAGCGTGCGAAATTTAATTATTTCTCAAACCAAATCTTGTATGACATACCATCCAATACACTGTCATTTGGAAAAAAAAAATAAAGTCTCTAAATTGATTTTGATTGACCATACACGAATTAATTCAGCTTCAATAGCGAAATGATTTGGATGCTATAACTATCAACTGAAAGAATACTAAAGACCAGTTCATACGTCTCAATATATTCATATTTATATAGTTAAAAAACGGGGAGGAAATTACAAGAGAGTAGCATACAAATTGTGTGATGCAACCCCAGAATTGGTATGATTCGCTTCAATCACCCTTGCAATTTATCGTCGCACGGGGTGTACCTGTCCAAACCACGCAACTGCTGTTTTTGCATGTCGATATGCGTTTGTTACATATGGCGGAATTCTCGAATCAGCCGAAGGAGGCAACAGCCAACTGTCCAACCTCTGCCCAAGATGAGAGAATGTACGTTTAGTGTATTGATTCATATGATATCTGATTCGCAAAAAGAAGCCGTAGATAAGAAGCGTATATAACGGCACTTGGAGTCTGTATAAATTAAAAGTTTGTCAATCAAAGTTTCAAATCGAAGAATAACCTCTTAAATGATCATTATGAATGCTTACGTGATTATATTCCAAATCAATGATGCTGTAATAACAACTACTTCGGTGAAGCTCACTATCCGCATAGCCCCCTCGTAATAAGTATTGACCCAAGTCTGGATTGACTTTGAGAGACCACTTAAAGCAGGCTTAGTCCCAGCTCGAGGGCTTGATGCAGCTTGTGGTGCAAATGTGGGAATGACATTGGTGCGGAGATATGTAAGAAAGTGAAATAGAGAGAATGTGGCATTCGGTATAAGAGTAGCTGAAAAAAGAGAGAGACGGAAATGTATATGAGTAAAAACATACATACAAAAAACCAAATATCGCAATCAACAAGGACGTAACAATATTTCATAATCGTTATCACAGACTTGTCAACAATACCCTACAATGTATAGCCTAATACTATTTAATTCATATTCTATAGCATCCAATACAATACCTATAATTGGTGGATAAGAATGCCATACTAGAGCCAATGCAAGATAGAATATATTCTCATCCCGATTGATGCTTCTGATGTAATCCCAATCCCAAGAAGGAAGCTAGTAAAAACAAGATCAATTATCGAACACGTCAGAAATACTATGCCAATTCGTAAATTCGGGAAACGATAGCAGCCAAAGAATATGACTATATGTCCGATCAGTTGCAATCTGAGATCTGCTCCATTCTCGTTACATACTATTCCAAGATCTATAATAATACATCTTATTATCATAGAAGATGCAGCCTTAATAAATCGAGAACTCACCCCATATGACTTGTAGACAACAATCCCATAACTTAATATCGCGCCCCGATAAGCCCAATAATACCACCATGCTGCCTCCTCAGAACGCCATAGAACCAAGTTGAGGAAATAAGCAAATGTACTAATTACAACGGTACAATGTCCTATCCACCAGACAAATTGGAAATGCTTTGAAAAAACGGTTTATTCAATGTTAGTGAAATAAGGAAACATTGCAGCCTTCCAATGTACAGTTATATACGCTAATGTACATACACCATACTCAGGCTACTCCACTAATCTAACGTTGAGCTTCTTGTCTCACACTCTCTCTTACCTGCACCAGTTCCTTAATACGAAGTCCAAGAGGTTGTTTAGGGGACGGGGGCATTCTGAATAATGTCTGTATATATAACTCCTACAAGATTGTAAGATAGCCGCCTACCGAGAACAAGTAGTGAAAGTCAAAATCCAACGTTACAACAGTTTCTATTTCCTTCCCAGGCTTTTTGTGTGGGGAAGAAGGTTGGAGAAACGATGTACGTGGTGAACACAAATTCATTATTACTGTAACGTCACCTGTCATCAGATGATTCGTCAATAGTTTTTTAACGAACGCCATCGAATATTTCAGGGGTTCAAAGCTGTCAAGCCACCGAATCATCGTTATGATAGTATCGTATGAGTTATAAAAAGATCCAACAGTTTTTTTTAACCAAATTGCATTCTCCGCGTTATTTAAGACATTCCAATGGTAGTGGAAGAAATGTTGCCTGGTGAACTATGGAGATTTGATTGTTTTTGATTTCCTTATTAAGCTTGCTAAGTATTTAATCGTCTATCTTCAGGAAACTTTTTTTCTATCCATACTTTTATTTTCAGAAGCCAACGTGGACAAAGTCGTAATACAATGGTTTAATTGCATAAATTTTAGGAAAACATAACTAACAAAGTTTGTTACCAGGATAATTATTCTTCCATCCAGTTAACCGAAAAAATTTTTTATTCCGCTATTTCTGTTTCTTGCCATTCAGTTAATAATCCTTAAACTCAGTTCTAGTTTGGCAGCAAATCTTATCATCTAATATCTTGCCCTCGTTTTCTTGGAATAACAAATAAACTGTACCTTAGCTCTATACGAATATCTGTTTGATATCAATCATCAGTTTTAAACATAAAACAACCACATCAGCAGGGAAGAAAGGGTTTATTATTATGAGATTGTGATTGTCACTAATGCATTAATATTAAATTAGTTGTTGATCAATTCCATAATTTATGGTAAGAGTTATTTTTGCACTATTGATAACTAGTTTTTCTAATCTGTGATCTCATATTAGGTCACGTGCCTTTAGTAGTTTGTATAAGATGGAAACTACAAACGGGATTATTCTGATTGCTTTTCAACCATCACGCCGAATTGAGAAAGAAGGAGAAAAAATAATTGTTTACCAGGTTAATAGTGCTGCTCCCATGGAAAAATTTACTAGTTACACATAATGTTCTGGTCAGAAAATATGGCCTACAAATACCTAAATTTAATTATCTCTAGAGTTTAGGAACGTCCGAACAGACTATTAACATCCTCTGGAAATACCTAGAGTTGCACAAGATAGTAATAGTGTTGAGCAGGAAGAATTAGTAGGATGTTAACATGTATACTTGATAGATAGTAATAAATAATAGCCGCTTGATTGGACGGGCAGTATTACGTGCTGTGCATCATACACTTTCTAATTTTCTACGTAGTTAAAATTTGTTAACTCCCAGATATAATTCTAACCTTTTTGAAGCAATTTTGCCCAAGTTGTATAATAAATTATTAAAAAGTTTGTATACGTGCAACTACAGTAAAATCTCCATTCCAATGGAGTTACCTCCCTAAGTGTGCATTCGCGTGATTTACGTATTATTACACACAATTCGCGCACAATAACATTATCCTTTGTAGATATAGTTGTGTAGAGACAATTTTTGTGAAGAATTGCTATCACTCTCAATTTTCTCAATTTACAATAGCTTGGAACCAACAGAAAGATTTAATTGTTTTTAAGCTTTCCAAAAGTAATGATATCTTACATAAATACCAATGATTAGTAGTGAGCATTAAGTACTTTGAAAATGTTTAATTTACCGAGTTATTTAAAAGCTCTTAATAGTTTGGACTTTATTATGGAGCAGATAATTCAATAAAACAAAGTAGTATAACACAATTTCTGGTTAATAATTGGGATGTTTATAGTAAAAAATTTTACGTAACTTGGCCAATGCTAATTATAATAGCGTTTTTTAATAATAATAACCCTATATAGTTAAAATTTTCTTTCTTATTATTATTAAGGAAACCTCCATAATAATAAATGCAAAACTCCCGTAAATGCAACACAGAACTTGGTCCCATTTATGGAGGGTTTACTGTATTAAGTAACGTCTTGATTATAATTGTTGATAAAAATTTATCATTACTCCAAAATTTTTACTTCCAAAATTATATTTTAAAGTACGTGAAAAGTCCTAATATAGAGCCCGTGCAAAGTAATTTGATTATTTATTCACTTACTTTTATAAACGTAATATTAAGAGATTTCATTGTAGACCGTTCACACAACTGATTAAGCTTCCTCTGCTGGAAACTTAAGCATATACCGGAAACTAGAAATTACCAGACTGAATATCTGCCATACAAAGACAGTAACATAGTCGTAGTGAACGCCAATAGTTTCCCAATAGTTTCGTTTTTCATCGCATTTATTCGACCCTATAGGTATTATAAAGAACATTATACAGCTGACATAATATTGACTGGCAATAAAAAAGTACAATGAATTACAGGTTTATATCTCCACTAGACTTTCTATACATCTGAAGCTGGGATATACTATATATGTATTAATTGAGTAACACGAGAAATTTTATTCGTAGTTAATGTATTAGTATTCTGTTAAAACAGAGTTTGGCGCTTTGACATTTCTACTGACTTGTCTAAACGTTCCTTTGTTTTAAATCGTTTAGCAGTCTTAAGTGCTTGTCTTTACTAAATATGGGAAGAAAAGTTGCTGAAAGATTATAACAAGAGAAACAAAGGCGATGATGAATCTGGAGATAACACGAGATTACACGATGAGCATGATTATACTGAAGAGAAGAAACAAGAAGAGGACGTTGTTGAGACTTTGATGATTCTGGCAATGCGCCTGTTGGTTGGATTTTTGGTGTATATTCGCCAATTGAGATGGAATCAAGAAAACAATAGAGCAGGGGGACAAGGCCGAGTAGATGGGAATGAGATGGAAGAGGTCATCAAAATGGTAATGGGGAAGGATTACAAGGGAATCGATGGGTTGATCGTTTTGCCAACTTGGTTGACATATCATATTCTAAACAATCTCCTGCTCGTAACAGAGTCAAGAAATAGATTGAATGTACGTATGATATTCTCAAAACGCATCAAATCTGTAACTTTTTTATCTCGATACATATAGAAAAGTGGACATTGATGGTGGCAATTTTCAAAGATAGAAGGTCTTCTTAGCTGTGAATTCTTTATTTTCATCACTTTTTAGTAAATTAATATTCATTTCCAATAATTTTTCTTTCATTAGAAGTATGATCTCCAAAAGGTAAACGTAAACCACGACCAATAATTTGCTCGATAAAGGTAGCCGATTTAAAAGCCCTTAAAGGAACAATCATTTGCGCTTTCCCTTAGGTCAGTAATTGTGTTGCTGTTAAGTGACCATAACTTGTTTAAATCTTACCAATTGTTAAAAGAGTTTATATAAAAACGGTTGGATAAAGTAACAAGTTCGAGAAGAATAGTGATAAGCAATGGATCCATTTTACAAATTGTTTTGCAAATATTAGATAAACTCTGTGATTAAATTTTCGTTGTTTTTATGAATATTTCATGGCGAGAGGTTTTCTCTTTCCGGACGTGCAATATCATTTTCGTTTGCTTTGATAAAGGAGACGCGAGATAGTATAAACATGTACCGTTCTCTATTGGTTGCTCTATGTTTTTTGTTTGTATAATCATACAAGTGGTAATAGGCAAGTGAAAAAACTGGTTAATGCTCAATTAGATAGGCAGAATTTTATTAAGAAAGTATTGAAATAAAATAAATGTGAATGATTTCCTATTACTAGCATCGAACGAGCGGTGTTACTTTTGAAAGCCTTCAGATATTGAACAGTTGCCTGTTGTCTGTTACAAATGGAATTACCGCGTGAAAACAAGCACGTCAAAAGAGCTACCGTCATTTACGATTTCAAAGCTGATGACTGGCTGAAGATATCGTACGAATGGTCACGTTACTGTGACACGAGCACCTTGTTGACGCGATAGTATTTTACGCATTGCATTGCTGCATCCTTGTCATTTAATTTAGAATTTTCTGAAATTCTTTAATCTTTACTTGATTTGCTAAGATTTCTTTTTTTATCTCCTATGTACTTGCAATCTTTTTATAAACTACAAATACAAAACATTGTATCAGAAAGTACATAGATAACGCTTTGAACAGCAGTGTAAAAAGAAGCTGAGGTAGAACAAAGATAAGCGCTTGCGTTTTCGTAACCAACTAGTAATCGAGACAAACAATTTTATTTAAGGAAAAACAGTATTTGTAGTAAGTATGTGTAATAGTGAATAATATTTACTCTATTATATTATGTTTTTGAAAATGTACTGTATAGCCATATGGTATATGACGCTAGATGATGACGATTACGTGCCAGTCGCTATTCACTAGTTAATAATACAGTTGAAATTGATAGAAACCGTTTCAATTGACTATATGCTTACAATTGCGGAATTCATTATTTACGTATAAATATTAGAAGGTACAACTTAATAATTTTCGAGTCTTGTGAAATATAGAATAAAAGCATTAAACATTTTATTAAGTCAAATGATTACACATACGTATTACTATAAACCCACAATAGCGTATTCTCGTTGCTTTGTAATAAAGTAAAATAATTGTCGAGTAATTTTAGTAGTGTCAAGCATTCGTAAAAATGACGAAACGACCCCAATTTCTTTTGCAACGTGTTTGAATAGAGTACACGTTTACACTTGAAATAGTGCGTTTTTCATATATAATGGTTTCGTCTGATGCTAATAATTCAATTTATCAAGTTTATCAGTTTCTCGTATTCTGATGCGTCAAACACTTAAGGTTAGAAAATGGCGGTAATAAGATTCGAATTAGTTTAGAAGCCGCACAATTCAGGAAATTGTCATCATCTATTGATATCAGGCGAAAACGGCAAAAGGAAACAGGCGAAATCCAATCGGGAACATGGTGTGGCTGACTAAGGTTTCGTCGGATTAGCATTTTATAGTTTGTTATTATTATATTGGTACGTATCCGCGCTCTATACTGCTACGTGTGGAAGTGAATGATTTTTTATATCGATATGTTTCTTCCATATTAACGAATTGACACGGGGTTTATTATTGACAAATTTCGCTCGCTGTTATTATTCCAAACTTCTATGAGGTTAGACTGGAAGCGTAGATAATCAATCATGATCTCGTACAGAAGACTATTAGTAAGCAAGCCCGCCCGATAAGGTAATTAAAACGGACAGAATTGTACGACTTGTCGGGTAACTTTCTGATTAAGGGCATAATATCGACACTCCGCTAACCGGTAGCATATGATACTATTAACGGCTAATCGAGTTGTATAGACACACGTTGTCCAATTGCCTTATGAGAAACTGTCTAATGTTAACGCTTAACGTAAAATAGCATTCGCCGCCAGAACTGATCTCCGCTTTCAGATGCCTAGTTTAGATTTTCGAATCAACCACATGTTTGTAACTAAAAAGTTTTTTTTTTGATCACAAAATTTTTATAAAATGATCATGATTTCTACTCTTTTCCCAACGCCAAAATGGTTTCCGCGGAGGTCGCCGCTGCTCGAATAGCATACGCAACTAGTAAAGTTGCATACACTGTTGAACGAAACACTAAATCAGTTTCATCCTATACGTCAGAAATTACAGAATTATATCAGCGCAAAAAGAAGAATGTCTTTGATGAAATAACGGAATTTGAAGTACTTTCATCTAAAAATGATCCCTTTGCGAAAGTACTCTCGAACATTACGAAGGGGTCACCCGTATCGATAATCACCCCTGCAAAGTACTTACTCTCTGCTATTCCACATTTGTACAAACTAGCGAATGGCAAATCGGCTGTCGTTATCCATGCTGTTGTCGAACGCAACAGTGCCAATGATCTTGGAGACTACACTCACATCATGGCTGTCAGACAGACAGGCTGTGCATTGATAGCATCAAATGGTGGACAGGACTCTGCAGATACTGCGTTAATTGCACACGGATTAGCAATAAAGAGCGGAAACCCTGTCGTACACTTCTTTGATGCTGCTACTTCGAGGGTAAGCGACGACAAGATCGAAAGCTTCTCGAAAGAAGTTATTGCGAAATTTGTTGCAGAGGCTGGTATTGATAAATACCGCACGGAATCGAATGACGGGCAGAATGTTGAACTATACCTCAGAACAATCGAAAGTGCTAATGGTCAAGAACAACCTAATGCCACTGATTTTTCTGAACTTGCTGAACAGATTTTCACACAATTCAAGGAGAAAACTGGTAGATTGTACAAACGGATAGAATGCTCGGGTAATAAAAACGCAGAGACGGTAATCGTGTCCTTGGGTTCCGGAGTGAGACTTCTACGACAAGCGTTGAAACACCAGCCCGAGTTGAAGATTGCTCTATTCAGCGTTAGGCTCTATCGTCCGTGGTCAGATAGCAAATTTTTGGCAGAAATACCGCGGAATACCAAGAGGGTTGCTGTTGTAGAACAAGTATCGAAGCGTACTACAAAATGGTCCCCGTTGTATCTGGATGTCATATCATCCTTTGAGAATCAGGATCTATGGAAACATAGCATACCTACCGTTATTAATGCACAATACGGTAATTTGGATGCAAACACATCTGTCAACTCAATAGAAAATTTTATCGGAAATCTGTCTTCGGCTACTGCTTCAAAGATCGTTACTATTGGCAAAGAATCATCTGAATTAAGCACGCAAGCTACCAACGGTCATTCAATCCAATCACCACCCGCACTAGAACTAGCTTATCTCAAAATGCTTGAGGAAGTATTTGGTAACCGTCTGTACATAGCCAACGCAATGACGCAACCGACAGTGGGCCATCTTGGTGAAATGAAATCTACGCCTGAATTTGGCTTTGGTGTATTGTTGAGTAGATTGCAACGTCGCGCAGAATTCATTGATCTTGTATCTCGCGCTGTAAAAAGTACGTCAATACCTATGCCGGAGCCGCTCCACATTGCCTTGACCCAATGGATAATGCACAAGAACAATGCTAATTTAGCAAAGAAACATGGAGACACTTCTATTGAGTTACTGTTAAGTTTGTACAAAAAAAATGCTTTACTAGGAGATATATACAACCGTCGAAATCAATTTCTTAAACCGGCCAACTGGCTTGTGGGATCGGACGATTGGTCGTATGATATCGGCAATTCAGGTGTTCATCATGTTATCTCGTCTGGAAAGAACATCAATATGCTTATTATCGATTCACAACCATACACCTCCCGCACCGCCGCTGATCCTGAAAAACGTAAAAAGGACATTGGTTTATACGCGATGAATTATGGAAACGTTTATGTAGCAGCCGTCGCTGTCTATTCCTCATATACGCAAGTGTTACACGCTTTGATGGAAGCAGAAGATTTTGATGGTCCTTCTATTGTTCTGGCATATCTACCGTATCATAGTGAAAACGATTCTTCAATAACGGTGCTAAAGGAAACGAAACTCGCCGTAGACACTGGCTATTGGCCGCTCTACAGATGGAATCCTGCATTAGAAGCACAAGGCAAAGAACCATTTACACTCGATTCTGAACGCATCAAACAGGAACTGAAGTCATTTTTAGATCGCGAAAACTATTTGACGCAGTTAGTGAAGTCACGGCCTGAACTAGCAACAACGTTAGCGTCCTCGCTAGAGTCGGACGTAGCCAATCGTCAACGAACATTGGCAAAGTCTGCCTACGATAAATTACTTGGCGGGCTTACTGGTCCTCCATTGGTGATATTGTATGGATCCGATAATGGTAATGCAGAGGGTATTGCAAGGAGATTGCAGAAAGGCGCCAAAGCGCGTGGTATTAACGCTCGTTGTATGGCAATGGATGACTACCCTATCGAGGAATTATCGGCTGAGAAGAACGTCGCAATTGTAACCAGCACGGCAGGACAAGGCGAATTTCCACAGAACGCACGCGAATTTTGGAAACATATTTCGTCCACCACTGATATATCCCTTGGTGAAACAAGCTACGCGGTGTTTGCTCTTGGTGACAGTCACTACTGGCCACGAGCAGAAGATGCCATATACTATAATAAACCCGGCAAAGATCTCGATAATCGTTTGGAACTTCTCGGCGGACAAAGACTCCTTCCGGTAGGAATGGGGGATGATCAAGATCCTGATGGGTATGAAACTGGTTTTCAAGCATGGGAACCTGAACTTTGGAAGGCACTCGGCGTTGAATTGCTTGGAACGGTCGTGGAAGAACCAAAGAAGTCAGATGATGATTTGAAAATAAAGTCCAACTACTTGAGGGGAACAATTCTCGAGGGTCTTGAAGATACATCGACCGGCGCATTGGCAGAACAAGATACTAAATTGACCAAGTTCCATGGAATATATCAGCAGGATGATCGCGATCTTAGAGATGAGAGAAAGGCGCAGGGATTAGAAAAGGCATTCATGTTTATGGTGCGTGTTCGTGTTCCTGGAGGCGTTTCTACTTCTGAACAGTGGCTTGCTATGGATGAAATCGCTGATAAACATGCAAACGGTACTTTGAAAATCACTACTCGGCAAGCTTATCAACTCCACGGAGTCATCAAACGTAATCTCAGAAATACCATACGTGACATCAATAAGTGTTTGTTGGACACATTGGCTGCTTGCGGTGATGTTAACCGTAATGTTATGTGTAATCCTAATCCACATTTATCCCAATTGCATGCAGACATTAATGACTTTGCGCATAAAATAAGTGCTCACCTTACACCACGTACATCTGCGTATCATGAGATATGGCTCGATGATAAAGTTGTTGCTGGGAATGCAGTGCAAGATTATGAACCTTTGTATGGTTCAACATATCTTCCCCGAAAATTCAAAATAGCAATCGCGGTTCCACCCAGTAATGACGTGGATGTATTTGCTCACGACTTGGGTTACATCGCTATTGCTGATAAAAATGGCAAATTAGCTGGATATACAGTAACAGTTGGGGGCGGCATGGGCATGACGCATAACAACAAGAAAACGTACCCGAGACTGGCTGAACCATTATGTTTCTGTACACCAGAGCAAGCGATTGATGTTGGAGAGAAAGTCATGCTCGTACAACGTGATTTTGGTGATCGGATTAACCGTAAGCACGCCCGTCTGAAGTATACAATTGATGATCACAGTTTGGAATGGTTCCGTGAGGAAGTCGAAAATAAGTTGGGTTATAAACTGCAACCACCTCGTGAGTTTACTTTCGATAGTAACGCAGACAGATATGGATGGACTAAGGGAGCCAATGATAACTGGAATTTCTGCATGTATATCGAGAATGGACGCGTTAAAGATGAGCCCGGAGCTCTGTTCAAGACAGGCTTGCGTGAAATTGCAAAAGTCCACAAGGGCGATTTCAGACTGACTCCGAATCAGCATCTAGTCTTGGGCAATATTTCACCGGTAGCCAAGCCACAGATCGAAGGTTTGTTGAAGGAGTATAAACTGGATAATCTTCAATATACGGGCGTACGATTGAATTCGATGTCTTGCGTGGCTTTACCAACATGTGGTCTTGCTATGGCCGAAGCTGAGAGATATCTACCGACACTTGTTGAGAAGATCGAGTCGATCGTTGAGGACGTTGGATTGGGTAAAGATGCAATTACTATTAGAATGACGGGATGTCCTAATGGATGTGCACGCCCATATGTTGCCGAGATTGCATTCGTAGGTAAAGCACCTGGCACGTACAATGTATATCTAGGGGGCGGACATCACGGACAGAGACTCAACAAGTTATATAAAGAGAGTTTGAAGGAAAGTGAAATTTTGAAAGAGTTGAAACCTATTCTAACCAGATACGTTAAAGAGAGGGAAGACGGAGAGAAGTTTGGTGATTTTGTTATTAGGATAGGTATTATCAAGGCAACTACTGCTGGAAAAAATTTTCATGCTTAATATTTAATGTCGCGTGATATGAACAATAAGCAAAACATACAATATTTTATGGATTAGGATATATATCACATTATATACAGTGTGTCTCAAACATAATTGTGGTTACAAAAATTGGGTTTACTCAACGTCTATCATAGGTAGCGAGCTAAAAAAAAACTTTTATCTTAAAGCTTTACATCTTAGTACGGAATTCTATCCCCATTATTTTCTAAAATAAGCTCGCAACGTGTTTTGACTGACCGAATCATATTAACTATGTGCTGTTGTGGAACCGCTCCCATCCTCTGCCAAAAACTGCTTTACTGCTCAATATTCTGAGGCATTCTCTTTTCACAAGTTTTCAATGAGGTTAAGATCGGGCCAGTCAATTACGTTTACCCACTGTTTGCTAAAAAATTATAGTAACCCTGGGATCATTGTCCTGTTGCAGTCTCCATTTGTTGTGGTAAAAGCTGGTCCTGCAAAATGTTGACATAAATTGACTGCCCATAGTATTTGTAAAACAAAATAGAGGCGTTTTTCCTCGGAGAGAGATGCCTCCCCAAGCAAAAACCTTCCGACTGGTTTTGCCCCATTTTGGTGCCAACGTCGAGCTTTATTTCTAGAGAGGTTTCATCTGTAAATATAGTGATATGCCATTTATCGTTCATATGAACTCTTGCCCATGCAATACATGCTTGCAGCACCATACTTATTTTCTATTTGTATTGCCAGTTGTCTTGTTGAAATTGTGTCGTATATACTACATACAGTCCTGGACTTATTTTGTGTAACCTTTCGCGGACGTCCGGATTTCTTTCTATGCGCTACAGTTTGCGTTTCTTTAATTTTTTTTTTTCAGATTATATTCAATGGTTCAAATAGGAATTCCAGAATTTCTTGGGAGATCGGATATTATTCTGCCAGAAATGTAATATGGTCAGACGTTGGGTTTCAAGCCGAGAATTTATATTGTGAAGTTAATTTAGAATCAAAACGATTAAAAGTTTAACGTAAAAGTTTGTTTACAGTTAGTGCAGAAGGTGTTTTACACGAAAATAACAAACCAAGACACGTAAACAACGCGTGTCTAAATTTATTAATAAAATAATGGTTGTTCTATAAACCACAATTATTTTTGAGACACACTGTATATGTATCGCTTATACAATTGTTCTTAATCTAGTCGCGGATGGATTGTAACATATCAATAGTAGGCATTACTACTATTTCCTGCATGATCTCAAGGCTCCATCAAGCAATGCCCGGAGCGAGTATAGGCCTCATTTTGGATAATAACACGGACTCCTAATTCTTCTGCTTTAGCCACCAGACGTTGGCGAAATTGATAGTGGCCCCAACAGAGCATTTTGCGAACGGTTTT